AACTCAATATGGGCGCTGGTCACTGACGAAGACACAAAAACAGACTACGTACTGACCTCTGATAGATCTCTGCCTAAGTTGGACACCCCTTTGTTTCATCTATGCACTTCTAGCTACAGCTGTAACCAAATTGTTCTGTGGGAATCATATCATGTTGTTTTTCGTACAAGTTTTGTCTCGTGCTCCATCTTATGTTTGTTTATTATTTCCATGCCATTCTGCTATCTGCTTTTTGTAGGTTTAGGAAGACCATGCGAATGCATCCAGTTGTTGTTTCTAGGATCATTTTCTATCTTGATGCACAGCAGATATTAATGACAAACTTCGTCTGTACTATTTGGTTATACTTTTCTTTATTGCAGAATATAAATCTAGAGTATACAGAGGGAAGGTGACAAATTGAATTATTATTAAGCACATCAAGCCAGCTGTAAGAAAATCGTTTTCATGGCTAAATTTTACATCACAGCAGTTAAATATGGAATATCTTATGTCAGTTGTTTCCCAATTTTTATACTTAATGCATACTTTATACTTATCGCTGCGAAATCTGAGTTTACGGGTGTTAAATTCAGTAGTGGTTCAAAACAGAGTGGATAATTAATTCATAGTATGACTCATTACTTCCATCTGGGTCGATAGGTACTACTTACTTCGTTTTCTGTTGTATTTTATTTTTCTTTTAATACTTACGGCAGTTGCAGCAGTATAGTTTAAAGATAAACTTATAAACAGTATAGCTTAGGGTTCTTCGAGTCTTACTGATTGTTTGTCTTGCCGACCATATCCACCTCCATATCTACTGATATGGTTCGATGACATTCTTTTCTATCTAGTTCTTTCCACTTTCCTTTTGCGATTCTTAATACCAGGAGTCTCGGACACAATTGCTATTTTTGTCCGGGATAGGACCAAGCTATGACAGATGGGAAACGGGCTTATTCAATGCTGTTTTTTATGTGTGTGTTTACTAAGATCATCATGTGAACCGTTTGCATAAGCAGAACATCCCAGGTTTTCGATACCCCTTGTATTCACAGCTTTGTATCAGCTTGCTATATGGTAGATGCTACTGAATCGCAGAAGGAACAATTTCATTCCAAAAGCTAGATGTGTCCCTACTTTGTCGCTTCATCGTCTGCCGTGTCCCGGTTCCCACGCGAGTAAATACTTTATGTTCAACCCGTTTATCTAGCGGGGCCAACCTCCTTCTTTAATCACCATAGCTATTGACAGCACCAGTTCCCGGAACAGAAGTATTAATTACTAATTCTTTATATGACCTTGTCATTTAACCCTCATTATCCGTCGAAGCCAAAGCTGTCGCACACGGTCAGTCGTCGTTCTTACTATTTCATAAAAACAGTTGCCTCCTTGTCATACAAAACCACTGACCTGGCAGAAGCAAGGCGGAGGCAAATTTTGGCGGAAAGTATCACCACTTTCTGAGCCTAAATATTTGCCAAGGCACTATAATTCTTCTGGAAGTACCGTCATATCATTCACTGTACCTCCTTTCGGAATATGATCTATGGCCACGATCGAAATGTCGTTTTCTGCTCAATTGAATATCATATGGAGTATTCTCTGAAGTGACCAAAATTTCGGTCATGATGAGAAGCGCCGTAACTTGATTCCTATAGGAGGCACTTATGTTTAACCTATAAATGCAATCGTTGGCATGACGCAATTTACAAATGATTGAATGAAATGATAACGTTATTACTGCCATCACTCATGTGTTATATACAATTTTGATATTATCGAATGGCGCCATTTATTATTGAGGTTCGGGGTCAAAAATATATGTAAAGCAAACGATCAGATTCAGAACCACTGGATCACGATTGCTTTTGTAAGAGGATAATTTATGATGCCGTTGCCTTTGACTTGTCAGGAGAAGTTCGAACTGAAGACGTTTGCTGTTTCTGATCGTGGTGCTCATCGTATCGATGACTGTGAAGCGACCGGTGACAGAAACGAGCGTCAACAAGCCTTTACCGTTGTGCGCTGTACCGTGGTAGTCGAAAGACATCGTTTGGGATGACAACAGCAACATTTCAGATCTTGAGGATGACCCCGTATACAACATGTGTATAATAATCAAGCAAG